TAACATTTAATGGGAAGCATAAATTAATTATTGAAATTAGTCAGAATCGAAATAAAATAAAATCCAAATGGTCACGAGAATCGAAAGGCGATTTGAGAATGAGAATGGCCACTAAGAGCTTCATCTAATCATTGTTTAACTTAATAATAAGTTTTTATTATATCCCCTATAATTTGTTTCGCAACAACAGCAAATGAAATCGATGCCGCCGGCGGTGCAAAAAGCATTAGTGATATCTGTGAACCTCACCAATTTATCCACTTTGGCACTTTTTTGGACGGCTCGTGCCGCAAACTGAAACATGTGAACTGGCGTTTTGAACTTTGAAGCTCATAAAAGCGTTGCGACCAATTCGTATAATTAAATGGACTATTTCTCACAAAATGTTCAATTTGGGTTAAGTATAAGTATAATTAATCTATCAATTATTTTATATCGCTTAGAACAATTAATTCAAATAGAATAATAGTATAAACAGGGTTTGTTCTATCAAAACAAATATAACCCAATTTATGTTAATAGGCATTGAATTTGGTCTGCATTCGGAACTGGTTAGCTATAACTCAAGAATTAAGGTCAGGTTCCACATTTCATAAGTTGAGCGTAAATATACCAATCCAATGGTGTCAGGTTCCACATTTCATAAGTTGAGCGTAAATATACCAATTCAATGATATAGTGAGTGTTATACACTTCCCCAATTGACACACTCTGCAAATGTGCTGTAATCGACTGACAGTGAACTTGAATTCTGAATAATTGCAACCAATAAAACCGGCAGTGATCGCTGCGATCAAAGCGATTGATTTCATTCATGACGATCTAGTTCTGTGACAAACCCACCCTGACACAAAGTCTAGCAACCAGTTCGATCTCGGTAAAAACCCGAAGAGAGGTGGTCGATTTAAATGTTTATAGCTATAAGTATAAGCCATTCTAGCCAATTTGCACAAATGCAAATGCTGATTATTATGGTCGTATTTGAGAGCGAGACGATGGCTTAATGGCCATTAGAAGAACCCGTTTTGGTGTTCTTTTTTTCGGCTTCGCATGATTACCTCCATGCGGCACATGACGTGGATAATGATGATGATGATGAAGGTTCTTCTTGGCCGCCGCTCTGTCTGCCGAGTTTTGTAAAGTTCTGGCATCTGTATCTGCTGTGAGTCAACGGATCATCTTCGCATCTGTATCTATCAGACCCGAAAGGAATTTGCATGTGTCTGGTGTTTTTGATGATTTGACTAACTGCTATGACATTGTTTCAAATCGGATGCCGTTTGCTGCGCTTTGTGTGTGTAAGGCCAAGGTTGAAATTTGTAAAGAGATTGTAAACATTGGATTAACTGCTATGCGTCGTGTTGCCTTTTCAATCGGATTGGGTTTTATCTTTGTTGACTCTGCATTTGCATTTCTTAGCCAGCCTTTGGAGATCCATTGTGGCGACCGATGCTGCTGCTGTTTTGACATCCATTATGGATTGGTTTGACAAGTGCTGTCAGTGCTCAAGACAACAGCCCACATGACCGAATGGCCCAGACTATATATTTTTTGCCGTTAATTGCTTCACGCTGGCCAAGTCGCCACTACAACATGTCTTTTTTGGTTGAACATTCAGAAGCGGCATTAACCAAATTTGCGTGACAAAGCCGCCCTCTGGGGCTGAAATCTTCACCACACCATCTGAATGAATGAATTTTCATATCTGATCGATCTAGACCGCATCGAGTTTGTCGCTCTTTTCTGCATCTTTTGATGAATGTTGGCGTTTTGTTCGTTTTATAATTAAAATTTAATAGAGCGCACAAAATGTTTTGCCAGTGCCTTGGTATTATGCTAATCACTGGCGCCCACAGCGTTTGTTGGAAATATCAAGCTTACACAGGCAATCATCCTTAACAAAGGCTAAGTTAATCTTTTATTTTTATATATTTATACAATATTTGACTGACTTCTTCTGGAATGGCCAGCGAATAATTGCCAATTTTGGACAGCTAAACGATTTTGTTCACGCTCAAGAAACGCAGCGTTTAATCATAAATCGCCGCAGTCTGTGGGATTCGTGATTAATTCGCAACCACTTGAATGCTCGCCGGGAAGGTTAACAGTTGTTAAACATCTATTAGCAATTGATTAATTTAATGTTGATGCGATACAAGCATGCGACTCCAGACGTAGGTCAGGGGTTTTAAAAATGGGATGGAACGTGTGGGTAATATCGGTCAATTGGATAAGGAAGTTGTAGAATCAAACGGCTGGGCCATAGATTAAGACATCAGTTCCTAATCGAGGTATATGCTGATTGCCGATATTTAAATGAATGAATTGAAATCTTGAAAACTCGCTAGGTAATTCGCTTAAAAACAGGTAAGACATTAGGGTAATCGAGGTTTGGGGTTAATTTCGATTTATAACCGGCTATAAGAGTTTTGAAAAAATCGAAAATGAGCTCTTAAGCCAAAAATCAAAAGTCATTAAAGCCACTAAGACGTCTAAAGCAATTTGAAGAGATCTACACATTATTTATTTATTAACAAATAGAAAAGTTGTTGAGGCATTACACTTTCGAAAACTCCTAGAAATTGGCTCAATATTGCAAGGAAACTTAATTTGGCTTCATATTACTAGATTTGCCTAATAATTGGGTACAACTTTTGTAGGGTTTCAGCCATTGTTAAGCCATCATTAATAGCAATTAAGCAGCCTTAACAAAGTCCCTCAAATAAAACTGTCTTCAAGTTATTTTTAATATTTAATTAACAGGCATTTATGATTATAATTGACTCACAAAATGACTGCAAAAGACTCCATAAACACCAATAAAAAGCTTAAGATTAATCAATTAGGAAGCTCATGGCTCAAGATAAACCCCAATCAAACTTTGTTATTTTAAAGATCAGTTAAAAAGTAGGCTATATATTCCAAAGTAAAAAAAGCTCGTCTTAGGTAGTTTGTTAAAGATTTTTAAAGTCCAACCCAAGGCTGAAAAGTTTTTCTCTCCAAGCATGATTGTGCGAAGTGAGAGCTGGTTTCATGCGTGAGTGGCTTTCATAGCTGGTTTTTGCTAGCTGATCCACCCGAGCACCGCTGACGAGTTGATTCATATTTCTTGACTCGTTCCGTCTACACAAATCATTGTACGCAATGTTTGAAGACGTTTGGGTGCGTTGGCGTTTTACAATTGAACAGTTATGAGCCAAGACAGCAAAAAGAGGCAAACGGGTGAAGAATAGAAAAAATCAACGGAAACTGTGCCAAGGGCAATTTCGCTGGTGATTGATTTACATGAGGGGCTAACGTAACGCAACGCAAAAACGGACCACGTTGCGTATGCGCAATATTTTTTGGCGCTTGGCGAACAGGTGCTGATTCTTCGACTTTACCGCTTTGGCACGGGCGTAAATCAGTTGATGACTTAATTGTATGTCCATTAAGTCATAAATATAATATGTCCATTAATATTTTCGATTAGCCGCTGTCGGAATAATTTTTGAAGAATTAATTGGAAATTTGAGATGAACGATGAAGTAGCTGTCTGGTTAAGAATTTTGCTCTCAGTCATAATTAATATATATATTTGCTGCTTTCATATTTACAAAGATTTCATATTTATATATTCGCATTTACATTTGCGTGTTCGCTTGATGTATCGGAATATTACTAGCTTGTTAGGGAAATTCACACCCGGATGAAATCGGAGGGAATTAGAATTGTCATCAGAGTGGCAGAAATTAGCTGGGGTCACCAGGTGACTCGCATGAACTTCTTTTGGGGCTTAATGCTTCCATTTGGATTGCTGTAATTATCGAAGCGAGGCAAACAATGCGTCGCGAATCTCTTGTCATGCCCAATCTTTTCAAGTGCCGTGCTGTAATCATAAATCACGCAAAAAGTTGAGTCTAACTGCAGCTGCAGATCTGATGCTGAGACTGATGCCTGACAACATAAATCACACCCAAGCCGCTCGTTAAGGCGTTAATCAAATGGCTCAGATCGAGCTGAGTGAGTGAGTCTTAGGGCGCCCCGTGTCCAGCGAAATTGAAGGCCGTTTTGTAGGTGCTTATGTAATTAGTGGCAAAGTACTCGCCCGCAAACCCCCCCTCCCCCAGGGAAAACAAAAAGAAAAAATCCCTATCGGAAAATCGTTGCACAACCGCACTTGCAGTTGCAGTTGTAGTTGCAGTTTTTGTTTCGTGTTTATCTTTATTTTTGGGCAACCTAATGAAGTTGCCACGGCTAACTCAATTTATTGACTAAGCCAACTGGCGTACTGACTAAATGACTGATGAACCTGGCGACTGACTAACCGACCGACGACAGCCGGTGGGAATTGAGTCGTCGATCGCCGACTCAGATCGATCATTGATCGACTCGCTCATATTTATTTTGGCTCCGCCGGCACCTTGAGTGTCCCATGTATGGATGCAATGTCTGTGGCTATGCCAATTGCAATCATTATGGGCTCTCATCGACATTTACCTAAATCTATATATATATATATATTTATGGTCGTTATGGCTTAGCGATATTGCAAACAAAGCCGCCTGAGAACGTTCACGGCTGCTTGACGCTAGCGGAATTTCCGCCTCTGATTTATGGCGCCCCCAGGTTTTTGATTGATTTGACCTACCAACTGGCCACCACACATTGCACCACTGGGTGGTGCCTGGAGACTGCACTTGAACCACTGGTATTTCGACCGGGCCATCTGCCTCCACTGCAAAAAATGAAAATTTTAGATGAGTATAAACAGAGAAAACATCAGTATCAATTCCTTAAAAACTATACATGTATATTTAAGAATCTCCCTGTAATTGTATACCTTTAAAATGTGTGCAAAATATATTAGTATCATTGATCTAAGCTGTATAAAAGTTGTAAAATTTTTCTCCATTTTGTAGCTGTCAAAAGTGGCGCCGAAGGCCGTTTTTAAAGCTGGAACATTGACCCACCAGCGAATCCCCCGTGTGATTGACATATCCAGTTTTGACTTTGGCTTTTGAAATTTGTTTTTATTTGGAAAAAGATTTGAGTGGCGGGGCAACTGGCTCCAATGGTGGTTCACAGGACAGTGGTTTTGAGTACTTTTCTAGAAGGTAAAGGGCTTGGCAGGCTTGTTGTAGTTGTAGCCATCGGGACCCAGAGAGCCCGCCTCATCGCCACCACTGGCGGGTGGTGTTCCGTACTCCGGAGTGGGTGCAGCTGGTGCTGACGGACGTGGCTGATAGGTGGGTCCTGGAGCAGGAGCAGGTGGTGCAGGAGGTTGTGGCTGATATGTGGGTGCAGGCGGACTCGAAGGGCGTGGCTGATATGTGGGGCCTGGTGCAGGCGCTGGTGGTGCTTGTGGGCGGGGCTGATAAGTGGGTCCTGGTGCAGGAGCTGGTGGTGCTTGTGGGCGTGGCTGATATGTGGGTCCTGCTGGTGGTGCCGGCACTGGCGCAGTTGGCTGCGGTTGTGTCGGGGTGACCTCATTCTCTCCAGGAGGTGGCAAATACTCATTTCCTGGCTGAGGGCGTGGTGGTTGTGGGCTTGGCGGCTGTGGTGCTGGAGGGGCGGGTCCAGGTCCCGGTGGCGGTCCATATCCTGGAGTGGGCTGTGGCCTTGGTGGAGGTGGTGGTGGAGGAGGGGCGTATCCTGGAGTAGGTTGTGGCTTAGGCGGAGGTGGTGGCGGTGGTGGTCCGTAGCCTGGAGTAGGCTGTGGCCTAGGTGGTGGTGGTGGTGGAGGCGGCTGAGGACGCGAGGGTGTCGGACGTGGCTTTGGCTGGTCTGGAGGCAGGTACTCCGGGCCAGGCTGTGGCGAAGGTGGCTGTGGTGCCGGAGGCTGAGGCTGCGGTGGACCATAGGATGGAGCTGGAGCCGAAGGGGTTGGCTGCGGAGGACGGGGTGGTGGAGTCTGCGGCGGTCCATAAGATGGTAGTGGAGCGGGAGCCGAGGGAGTTGGCTGTGGTGGTGGGCGTGGTGGCTGAGTCTGAGGAGGTCCATAAGAAGGACGAGGAGCTGGTGGAGTCGGCTGTGGTGGCGGAGGTGGCGGAGGAGGACGCGTCTGCGGGGGTCCATAGGATGGGGCCGGAGCCGAGGGAGCTGGTCCTGGTCCTATGCCCGAATCCTCAATGCCATTTCCCGATCCCGGAGGCGGGAAGGGCACCGACGGCTGCTTGTAATGGTAGCCATCCTCCTGGAGATCTGTGTCCAGGTGGGAGACATCCGCGTGGACACCCGCTGCCAAGAGCAGGACCACCAGAGGCAGAAAACAGCGCTACAAGACAGTTCAGTTGAAACCGGCGGCATGTTTACTCTGCCAACGAACTCACCATTTCCACTTGATGCAAAATGAGCGCGGTTTTTCCGATTTTTCCTAACAGCACAACACACAGCGAATCGAACTATTACCGGTTTCGCAGACGAACCGCACTCAAGATTACTTTTCCAGGGGGCCTGTGAGCCGACGTCTTCGTTGCAAAATCAGAAATCGAATGATGCCCAAATGTTCTCCCTTGGCGCATTTATACCGGCCTGGCCCAGAGCAGCCCCTAAGTTGGCTGAGATCGGAGCTCGCTCAGTTAGATGCCGAAGTTTTGAGTCAACCGAGTACGAGTTTTACCGAGTTTTACCTCATTCGCCGCTCAGCCGAGCTCAGTCGACGTCATCGGCATCATCTTGGTCGCCGTCGTGATGCTGCAACCTTTGATGTAGCCATATAGCCACAGGTGAGGACAGAGATACTGTATCTATATCTGTATCTGTTGATCAGCGGCGATTGTAAGTCAATAACAGCGCGTACTAGTTTTTTGCATTTTTTTCTTTAGTTCCCCCGAACCGTGTGAGTGCTCCAACCAGGAACCAAATGGGGAAATTTCTGACCATGTTTATGTGTTTGGCCAATTAGGTTTGATGGGATCCGACAGAATTCACACCACATGGCTACGTGGGCGGATGATTAATGTGCGAATATACGACTGCAAAACAGAAATAGCTATTTCTAAGACACATATGCCCAAGATATGTTAGAATCGTGCTTACATAATTGGCTCCCCATCTTTACCACTGAGCAATAAACAATAAACATTATTGACTAAAACAATCGATGCTTATTTGAATCGACATTCTCCAGTTGGCCAATAAAGCATTATGCCCATATCAATTAGTTTCTAAGCCAAGTGACCAAGCGCGTAACACGCGGCGGATGAGCGATGCAGCTATGAAATGAATAGACGGGTTCGCTTAATTAACTTTGCATTTTTATTGGTTTCATGTAGGCTCCGGGTCTCCGGGTCTCCGGATCTTCGGAGTCTACGATGAAGTCGATCTTTTTGCTAGCTGCGATCGTGTGAGAGCATTTACAAATTGATTCGGGATGTATTCCATTCTTATGTCTCATGCGTGAAACTGCGATTACTTATGATTAAGTTCCTGGCACAACATAACAAATTATTTGGGGAACGGCTGCTCGCTATTTATTGCTCTTAAACTAAACTTCATTCTAGATGTCCATATTAGCTAAGTTCGTTTTAAAAATTATAAATTTACTCACAATTCCACTAGGTTGGTTTTCTTTGTTTTGATTCATTTGTTTAACATTTGTAGCTGGTGACTTATTTGCATATTTGTTTTACTCGACGACTCTTTAGTGTGTGTTCTGTGTTCCAATTCGTGTGTTTACCAAAAAGTTAATATTAGTTAGTTATTTTAGGTGTTAATTCTGCTCAAGCAAGTATCGTTTAGTGTTCATTAATTATTAAAATCTAAAAATCCTCGTTAATTGTGGCAATTTTCATTGCTTTCCTCTGTCTCAATACCTCTTTTGCTTATTATTGTTGCGTTTGCAATGCTGTTAACCATTTCAACCAGCCCCCGGCTGCTCCAAATCCTCATTCGCTTACTTTCCCCTGTAAATCTCGATGATGCGATCCTGATCCACGTACTCGAAAATGTGCGGAGCATCCATCAGAATGCCCACCGTTCCGGCCGTGGTCACAATGAAGAAGATGTACAGCTGCAAGCGATCGATCACCATGGCCACGTACTTCCAATCCTCGCGGGTCTGCAATGCATAAAGGGGTATTATATATACAGTTAAATCATTATGGATCAGTTATATCTGGGTTGGATCTGGGTTACCCACCTGAATGTACAGATCCTCATTGCGCAAGTGCTCGGCAATGAACTCCACCGCCTCGGTGGCCTTGCTGGCCTCCGGAGAGAGCAGAATGGAGTCGGAGGACTCGCTTTCCCGGCGACAACCGTCACCCAGGCCAAGTTCCCCGCCGCTGTTAACCTTGCGGTTGATCTTGCAGTTGGGGTGATGCAGGTCGGACAACTCCATGACCTCCATCTTGGATTGCTTGCCGCCGATGGCGCTGATATGCTTGGGCAGCTCCGCGGGCGAGCCGTAGGAGGGATGGGGATGGGCGGGCATGCTCATTCCGGGCATCTCCATCATCCAGCGCAGGCGGGTCTTCCGAGGGCGCTTCATGAAGAGGAAGGCGGGCAGGTAGTGCAGGAAGATGGAGCGGATGTACATGGGCATGCGGTGGGTGCGCGGCCCTCGGAAGTTCCAGTTGATGATGATGACGGTCACCAGGATGGAAACCGTGTTCATGATGAAGGTGAACAGCAAATACTTGGCGATCAGTGGCAGCACCAGCGAAGTCGGTGGCAGAATCTTCGACACCAGCAACAGGAACACAACCAGTGACAGCAAAATGCTAATTCCGAGCGTAACCTGGGGACACGAAGCGTTATTAACGGATCGGGTAATCGGGGAAACCTGCCCTACACTGAAAGTAAATGTGCCGCCCTACTGCTGACTATGAGTTTTGGAATAAACATGCTATCGATGTTTCTTACTTTTCAAGTGAAAGCTGATTTAACTGAATATCTGTTAAATCATTTAATCCTTAAATAAATTGAAATCAGTCGTTTGACGGAGTCGATTGTCGTTAGGTGGATTAAGAGTATTGAAATATTATTTATGTGTAATTTTGACATGACCCCAGCCGTGACCCGATTTCACCCTCTACAAAAGAAGACTTAATGACCGATCAAAGAACTCTTTCTTACCTTTTCGCCGGCTTCGGCTGGCAGGTAAAATACCAAAACGCAGAGGAAGGAAATCAGCACCGTAGGCAGAATTAAATTCACAGTGTAGAAGAGAGTCTTTCGCCGGATGATGATGTAGAATGTGATGTCAGTTTCCGTGGGATGGTTGCTATCGCCCTCGTAGACGTTCAGATAGGCGGGCACCTCTATAATGTCCCACGTGCCGGACTTCCAGTAATCCGACAGATCCACAAAGTTCTTATTATTATAGAGCGCCAATGAGACCTGATCTCCATTGAAGGTCCACGAACCAAACTTCATGATACAGGTCTGCTGATCGAAGGGGAAGTAGGTCACATCGATGGTGCAGGAGCTCTGGTAAATGGCCGGAGGAACCCACAGGACCTCTCCCGTGGGATAAATCAGCACGTTGGACTTGTAGCGCACCTCGTAGTTGCCGTCGGCACTGTCGGCGGAAAGAAGAGGTATCAATATGGGCTAGAAAACTATTGACTGCGAGGAAAGCTCCGACTTTCGCCTACTAGTATCATTATCTATTTGTCTTGGTTAGTGTAGAGAGTTGGAGTTGATGGGTTAGCTAGAAAATGGCCATTTACTCACTTATTGAAGAGCACAATGTCCGGCTTCCAAACCTTGTCGGGGGGCAAACGCAACACCCCGATGCCGCCGTAGTCGGCCTCATCCCACTGCAGCTGGTAGTCGTACCAAACCAAACGTAACCAAACGTTTGATTTCATAATTTGATTTTTCTCATTCTTGATCGGTTTTCGATTTTCGGTTTTGTTTTTTCGGGAATTCGTTTGTTTTTTTCGGTTTGATTGTGATCAGATGGTGGTGGTTTGGTGGTTGGTTGGTTGGTGGTTTGGTTGGTTGGTGGTTTGGTTGGTGGTGTGATAGAGAACGGTACGAAGTACGGAGTTCGGGTACGATTTTCATTTGAGATTCGAAACGAATCGAAATCGAATCAAATTTTGGCGTACACAATCGAGAAATCGAGAGAGAGAGCGGGTGGGAAGGTAGTTAAGACATTATTTCGCATGTGGCTTTACTTTAGTTAGTTAGTTAGTTGGTTAGTTGGTTAGTTTGTTTTGCTTGTTTAAACTTAATTGTTTAGGGTTAGTATTTGTATTTCGTATTTGATTTTCTAGCATCAAGTTCACTACAAACATACAAAGTCAAGACAACGTGTACGTAATTATTTACAAAGCATAACCGAAACTGAAACGTTGAATGCGCCCCTCCTCCCGCCCCTCGTCAGTCTGAGGGGGCGTGGCCGGGGGAGCAGACAGTGCATGTGAATGTATGGGTGTCGCTGACTGTTAATGGGCGATTGTGTGGGTGTTTTATGGCTTTTTTTCAGATGGACGATTATGACAGCAACGAAACTGAAGAATTTGTTAGGAACAGAACTCGAAAACACATTTACACTCTACGAAAGTTAGTTATGAGTTTTGTTTTTTTTATATTAGCATAATCTTATTATTATTCAGGTTGTTTTTTGTTTGACAAATTTAATTTTGAGAACACTTACGACATTGATTAGCTGTACGAACGCCAAACCAAATCTTACTCCAACTTTTTGTGTCATATTCTGTACGGGTCGTATGAGTTTATTGTAGCCTCGAAAGAGGTCACGCACCAAGCGCTCTTCATCTTCGGATGCACTGACTAAAAAACACAACGGAAAACGGAAACGGAAGCGAAAGAAAACAACGGAAGAGAGTACACACACATATAGGGATTCGGGGCGGGATTTAGGTTTAGTTAGAACAAAATGGCGGGCACACAAAGACACAAAAGTAATGAAAGAAAATACAGAGAAACAAAGAAACGAACGGATGAGCAAAGTTTTTGTATTCATTGTTTAAGTTTTTCTTGTTGTTCTTTTTTTTAATTTTTGAATGGGTTTTCGGGATGATTTAGCTTATAGACAGATAGACTTAGACAGAGCGAGAGAGATTCAGAGAGAGAGAGGAAGAGTGAAAGAGAGGGACTGAGAGAGATAGGCAGATAGGACAGAGGCTTTCTCAGACTTTATAAGCCGATTCTTCGTCTTTAGCATCAGCATCATTTTAGAATTTTGATGGGAAAAGTTAAACAAAAATGGACGACACATGAGAACCGCTCGATTGTGGTATATATTTCTGTTTTTGCTGTTTTTGGTGGTGCAGGTGGTTGTCTGTTTTGGTGGTGGAGGTGGTGTGCGAAGTGGCACTGTTGATGTTGATGTTGTTGCTGTTGTTCTGGCCTACGTTGAGTATACGCCGCATGGGAGGCACTTCCGTTAAACAAGAACTATGAGCAGGGGAAGAGGTCTTTCCAACCCCCACCCCCCACATAGTGGATGGTTTAATGCAAGTGCCTAGTGATTCTTACAGTCCTAGATTCCTGACTCGTAAAAAGTACTATGGTAACATGGTTATACAGCTGCTATTCAGTAACTTG